TTGCGGGCCCCTCGTCCTGGGACATCGTCGGCCATGCCTGAGCGTTTCGCTCGAAGGGACCGGGACGATGTGCTGTTTTGTGTGGCGTCGACGGCCATACCTGAGCGTTTCGCTCGAAGGGGCCGAAGCGATGTGCTTTGTTGTGTGGCATCCTTTACTTAAACTTTACAAGAAATAAGCAGAACACAATAGGTGCGTTGTTTATGGCAACGACTTTTATTAGGGTCAGTGGCTCGAGGCCGAGGGGGGTAACCTTCTGAACAACTCGTACAAGAGTTAGCTTCCCAATGAGTTTCTGACCTTGGGGTGGGGGCTCTGCCATCTGCACCCTCTTCGGATTGCTGGTAGAACTTCGCCGAGATGTAGGGCCCTTCGTATTTTGAGGGATAAGCCGTTTGTCGGCTTGGTGGTAGAACTTCACCATGGAGGTCCAACCGTCGGCCGTGCGTCCCTTCGAGGAAGGACACAGTCAGCGGATGTGACGCTTCTTCAGTTGGGGCTCCTCGAAATCCTCGTCATCACTGAGCTTCCCAATTTCATGCTTCTTCGTTGAGGTGTCCCCTTCCTAATTGCCAGTGGAGTTCCTTGGGGTAACTTTGACAAATTGGTGGAGTTCACCCCGTTGAATCAAGCGCTCAATGGCTTTCTTCAGCGCGACGCAGTCGTCTGTATTGTGGGAGGTGTTCTTTTGGTAACGACAATAAGTGCCACCCTGGTGGACGGCGTAGACTTCCGTGGCCGACCGGGGATCTTTAGGGATGAGACCTTGCTCCTCCGCATAGTCGAAGATGGTATCCACCGAGTGCGTGAGCGTAGTCCTTGGGATGTCCGTCCTCGGCTGCCATGGGCGCTCCTTCCGGTTTCGGCGGGCATGGCCCCCGGCCGAGGATGCATTTGGAGCCGACGCCTCGTCTGACCTCTTTGATGGTTGGCCTACGTCCTTCTTGCGGGAGTGGAGCTCATCGGCGTCAGCGTACAAGCTCCTTCGTTGGAGTGCCTTGGTGTATGACCTCGGCGGGTCAGTGATGAGGCTCCTCGCATAGGGGCTGCTGCGGAGAACGCCTTGGAAGAGGACGAGGAGGGTGCGCTCATCGGCACCTTCGACCTCGTCTGTCTCCTTCGTCCATCGATCGATGAAAGACCGAAGTGATTCATCGTGTTGCTGCTTGATGGAGAGAAGGTGGGAGAAATGTTTTCTCACGCGCTTCCTTCCGGCGAAGTGGGTGAGGAAGTGTTGGACAAGATCCTGCCACGAATCTATTCTTCCTTCGGGGAGCGCGTTGAACCACTCGTACGCTGGCCCTTCAAGAGTGGAAAGGAACCAACGACAGAGGTATTCATCTGATGCGTTCACCATCAGCATGTTGTTTTGATAGCGGCTGAAGTGCTCCTGAGGGTCAGAGCGGCCGTCATAGGGCTTGATGGCGTTCCCTCGGTACTTCTCGGGTATTGGGGCCGAGAGCACCCTCGTGGTGAAGGGAGTTTTTGTTCTGATTTGGATGATGGGGTCACCACGTCTGTCGGCCAGCTCCCTCTCCAGGGCGCTGACCTTAAGCATGAGCGCGTGGTAACCTGGACCCTCGGATGAGTTGGCCATAGGGATGGTGGCCGATTGTCTAGCCTCCATCTGGGCCAGTCTCCTTTCCAGCTGGGCGATGACCTCGTCACGAGGGTCCTTGGCGGCCGTAGTGGCGCCTTGCTGGTTGCGCACGCGAGCTTCTTGAGTCGTGTTGATTCGATGACGCGCATTGTCCTCGTGCAATTTTCCTTTGCCTTTGTCCAGGCGGGGCCGATCCTCTGTCCGAGATACGGACCCCAAGCTTTCCCTTGGTGAGCCAGGATCACGTTCACCAATCCGTCCCACCATCCTCTCCAAAGCAGGCCGACGACGCGTGTCACCTAGCCTATTAAAGGCTGAGGCTTTTCCACGCGTTGGGGCCGGTCCAGCTCGAAGTGGGGAAGCAGGGTGGGAGTGGGATGACGACGTGTCCTGTGGCACCACCCCTTCATCGTTGCCCAGCTTGATGGCCAACGGCTGGGGCTGAGGAGGTGGTGTAGTGTTCTCCCCAGTCCTTGGCATGAGTGCGCTGAGGACGATGGGGTTCTGGGCCAGGCTGGCGATGATGGCCGACAGCGTGGCCTGGACCTGTGGATCCACAGACGGAGAAGCCGCGGCCATAGGCTGGGCCAGGGCGTGGTCAGTCTTCTCAGCGCGTTTCTTGTCCAGGCCGATGCGGGCATCGGGGGCTCCGCCATTGAGTTGGTTGCGGAGGTCCGTCGTGAGGTTGATGGCCTCCTGGAAGACGTCTCCTCCGCCGACCTGGTCGGCCGTAGCGTCCTCTTCATGCTCCCTGGTCTCCTGGTCCTCAGGGATGGCCTTGCTGACGAGGTTGTGGTTTGACTTAGTTCTTCCCATGATCAGTGGTTAGCTGTGCTCGGTAGCGACGAAGGGTGCTAACTTGATTGTTCTAGCTCTCAACGAGAGCACCAAATGATGGAGTATTAACTCCTAGATTCTAGATAGAAGGGAGAGCTAGAGAGAGAAGTGAATTGTATTAATGAATTTTGTGAACCCTTACAACTACTCCCAAGGGGAGTATTTATAGAGAAAATTAGGGCTGGGCTCCCAAGTCTTGGGCTTGGGAGGCCCATTTACAACAAGGCCACTAATGGGTCGGATACAAAGTGTATAGAAATGATGAGTATAAAATCATGTTCTAGAGGCTATCTATGGATGACGAGGGCATGGCCGATGAGGGCATGGCCGATGAGGGCATGGCCGACGAGGTCACCCGGTTCTCATGACTTCTGGATCATATTCTGGGTGGCCTTCTTTCTGGCCGATGAGGGCATGGCCGACGAGGTCACCCGGTTCTCCTGACTTCTAGATCGTATTCTGGGTGGCCTTCTTTCTGGCCGATGAGGGCATGGCCGATGAGAGCATGGCCGATGAGGGCACCCGGTTCTCCGGGCTTCTGGATCATATTCTGAGTAGACCTTTTTCTGGCCGGTGAGAGCATGGCCGATGAGGGCATGGCCGACGAGGTCACCCGGTGATCGTGATACCTTCTGTTCTTCTGAGTATGTGGGTCCTGGGGCCTAGACCCATGTACTCCATCACCTGCGCTGACCCTAAGGTTGTTATGTTGTTCTGAGCTTGTTGTAGTCTTGTTTTTTTATTTGTTCCCGAGTCCCGCACTTACCAGTCCCCCACTCTTGTGGACATAGAATATTGTCTAAGTGTGGAAGAGTATGAGCTTGAGGGGGACAACTGGAAAAGGTAGTTGTCTTTAGTACTTGGTGGACTTAGGAGAATTTGTGGCGTGTAGTAAAGCTAATGTGTACAAATAGGAATCTTTACATATTCCATTTTGCAACATTTTTAATTAGTAGCCGTTTTCTGCATTTAATGCAAAGCATGGTGCTTGGAATGACTATGCGGCGCCATCATTGCGCTTTTTGTACACCTTTTGGAGAAAACCTTTCAGTTTTTGTGCGGTTATTTTATAATGTGCCACATGTCAGCTTCCCGTTTGGTTTGGGGGGAAGTATAAAAGGCAAAAGCTTTCGTCTTTCTCCTTTGCGCTTTCTTTGCATTTGAGTTTTCAGACAAGAAAACTGAATGAAAATTGATTTTCAAGACTTAAAAAGACAAGAAGATAGGAGGACACATTGTGTTCACCGGATGATCCTTTCATACGGAGAGGTAGGTTTTATCCTTTGAACCTTCCGCTGTAAAGACACGTTTATTTACTGGTTGTCTAGTAGACTCGATGTCCTTGAACTATACTGTCGACGTGTAAACATTGACTTATCTTTACACAAGAACCTTCCAACTTTTTTCCGTTCTCATGGGTGTGCCCGTTTTGGCCATGGGTCACCGTCCTGGTTCTGCAAGAGTTTCTAAAGAACTGAGCCTTTACAGTTCTCCTTTGAAGCGACCCTCTTCTCTCTCACATAGGTGATTCTTTCACGAGTATCCCGCATACTCTTCCAATGTTATCGAGTAGATCAACATTTCAGAATCATTAAAGCAAACATTTTTGCTAACCTCGTGCGGAAGTCACTGTTTTAACGAGGAGTGGGTAGGAGTCCGGGACCCCCACAGTGACCATCCTTCGCTCTATAATTTAGTTGTCCCTTTTGAACCTAGGACCAACTAGGTTGGGTATCCACTATAGAACTTTTCAATTCACGGGCTTTAGTCCCATCTCTCGTGAAAACTTCTCCAACAATTCTCTATCCAATGCCTTGGTTAGCGGATCCGCTATGTTATCCTTTGACTTCACGTAGTCAAGAGTGATAACACCCGTTGTGAGGAGTTGTTTAACGGTGTTATGTCTACGACGAACATGTTTTGGGGATTGCAAAGACATTTTTTCTTTGAATGGATAAGTGTCACCCTTTTACTATTCATTTACCTTCTTTCATTTATTCAATTATTTCGGCTGCTACATCCCATCAAGGGTAGTATTGGATAGTCAAACATTATTTTATTCCTACCTAAAAAACTGTGAAGTCAAATCCGAAAGTTAATTCTCAAATGGAATATTACTTCAGAGAATTAGATTCAAATGAGAAAATGATTTGAGGAGAGAAATGCGAATGAATCTGAAACGTTAGATTGTATTCTGAGAAATTGAATATACATTAGCGGAAACTAAAATGTGCATTACATGAAGCCAAAATGTGCAACACAAAAGGTACGACATAATGACATTATGTAAAACCGAATTGTGCATTACCTAAAACTGAAATGTGCAGAATAAAAGCTTGATGACATTTTTGTGCCTTATTTTGCACATTTCAATTTCCCGCAATGAACATTTTAATTTTACCTTTTATTGTGCACATTTCAATTTTATCTAATGCACAATTCAATTTCATATAATACAATTTAAATGTCCATATTCATTCAAATTTCTCTCCTAAAAGTCCTTTCTTAGTTAAACTGACCTCTCTTACTTCATATATATGATACTTATTAATTAATATTGTAATGTGGAATATCATTTTTGTATTTTGTTCGATATTTGTATATTCATACAACCCAAACGAGTTTGAAATTACTCGGGACGTAATTTCTCTAGAGAATTGGACGGAGTGAAATACTCCGTACTATTTTTTAGTAAGCATTCAACTTATGATGAAAATGGTAGAAATGAAAAGGCAACATAATGATGTTCGGTGTAACTAATAGATTGCCGAAAGGCGAATGAGGGGTGAGATGGTGAGATCTAACAAACATAAACATTAACTAATCCAAACTGAGAACCAAAATGGTTCCTGGAGATTCTTTCTAGGCAGCTAATTAGTAATTAAGCTCGTTTCAAGAGAACCACCATGATCACCATCACCGCCAATCCCATGAATGAAGCTCCGATTGCCTTGTCGACACCACTCACTTTTGCACTTCCATCGCCGCTTGCCACTACATTGTACCCTTCACTGAATATATTTTCCAGGTAACCAGATAAGCTGTTTATCATATCTACGACAGCCACTTTCATATTCTTGAAGAAATCGGCAAACCCACTCCCAGTATGTGCTGGCTCATCTACGCTTTTTGATGCAGCTTGGTATGGTGCCTCATTCTCCCCTACAGATTCCTCTACTCCCACATTGTGTTCGCCGGGATGGCAAGGACCTGAGGTTTCAAGACGTTGATCGACTATAATAATAACCAAATCAAGAAGTAGGAGACTAGGAGAAGAGGTTATTAAATGACTTGACAATTTCCCCACATTGTGTACCTGATAGGGTGTGGGAAATACTTTTCAACAAGATCACAAAAAATAATGAATAATAAGAAATATTCCCTCCCTCCCCTAACTTTGTCCCGTTTTACCTTTTTCGTTCGTCTCATTAAGTTTGTCTCATACCAGGTTTTGGTAATATTTAAGTGGTTATAATTCATTTTTACTTTATTCACACTTTATCAATTCAATATCAACCACACAATTCCACTTTTTCTTAAAAGTTGTGCCACTCTCTTGTCCCAAACATAGTGGGACGGAGGTAGTACTATTTTAGGTATCCTGGATAAGAGAACGGTACAAAAAGGAGAATACATGAATCTACTTCAAATACAAAGATTTCAACAATATAAAGAAGACTGCATCCCCCCTCTTTTTGGGATATACTTTTGAAACAAATAATACACTTTTTATGGGCAAAAAATGGTCTAAAAGAGAGATGGATTGATAAATAAAGGTGTCAATGAGAAATAGGATAAGAGATGGCCTGTGTTACCGCTTTTAAATGTTGTAAGGAACTTCTGCAGCTCAGGATTCACCATCACAGCGCTGTGAACATTTGGATCACAAGCAATCGAAGCAACAACATTCTGGAAAACAACATACCAGACTCAGCACTTTAGAGTCTAATGCAAAGGTTCCATGTTGATTGAAGAGAAAAAAATGGTAAACATCAAAGGCAAAAGTAAAGGGTCACAGATTCAAACCAATCTATACATAATCAAGGTAAGGAAACAAACACGTATTTATCTTACAGAATTACAGAGATAGAAGTACTTTCCTATACAACAACATCGAAATCTTAGTCCCAAAAAGAGTTTGGGGTCACAAGTACTGTCCTATACTCTAATTAATTAAGAACATCGCCAGAAGAACAAACAATGAACAACATCAATGGCGCGAAGCAAACCTGAGCAGCAGAACTTTCACATAGTAACATGAAAGCCTGAAAGGCATTCGTTGGTGCTAAGCTCTTAATAACTGCTGTTTCAGCATTAACACAAGATTTAGTCTCCACATCATTCGAATTTGAAAACAGATCTGCACCAGTGGCTCTAGAACCTCCAAATTTGTTTGTAGGAGACAAAAAGACGCTGGGAATGTAATTCATTCAGGAAAACATGTCAATTAATCCAACAGGATCACTACACATAAGCAAGAAGTATGAACAAAATCTACTTCTCAATATAAGACATTCAGAATACATACAATGTATGATCCCGGAAATATCATCAATCATACATCATAAATGATGTACTTTGGTACATGCGTACATCTGACCCCTTACCCCACCTAACGACCCCCTTACCCCAACGCAGGGCCGGCCATGGGGGGAGGTAGCCTAGACATTTGTCTAGGGTCTCCAAATTTTGTAGGGCCTCCATTTAAAAAATAATAATATTATATATACTTAAATCCTTAATTTAATTAATTGAAATACTTAAAAATTAGTTTAGAACTAAAGCTAAGTTGATGCAAAATATTAAAAAAATCAAAATTAAGCATGTTCGGTGATATATTTGAAAATAATGACAAATATATGATCTAAATAAGAGTGAACAAAATGTGTCTTTTTATACTTCAGCGACTATAACTTTAGTGATCGTGATTGTGTCAACTATAATGCATATGCATAGATAATAATTCAACATCCTAATTTGAATATATTTTGAGAAATAGTATTGATGTCTACGAATATAATATAATGAGTTATTGATGACAAATGTGACGTTATAAATGTATTATTTTTAAAAATTATTATTAAATTGTCATTTTTAATTGTTTTCTAAAATAGAAAATGAAAACATTTAGTTGAGATGTCTAAAAAGGGAAAGTGACAAGCTTTGAATGGAATGAAGGGTAATATTTTTCAATAAGTTATATTTCAGTAATATTTAAGGAAAACAAACTTATATTAATTCGATTGACTATTATCTCGATTAAAAAAGTATTACGTAATATTAGGGAGTCTTGATTGTAGTAGTTTTCTTACCAAATTTGCTATTAGAATCTTCATGTGTTTTTCACTCTTTTATTGCTTACATTCAAAGAATGATATTCTTTGCATTAGTAACATATGGTATATTTTGGACTGTACTTTACTTCTATTCGGGGCGTAATTAGAATGTCCTTTTTAATTTTTAGGCCCCGATCCTCTCCAAATTTGTAAAAATAATTATATGTATTTATATGTTAAAAGATTGTGTAAACACAAAAAAACTTACCAATTCAAGCCACGTTAATATTTCTTTTTGGCTATGCCATTCCTGTTTATTTCATATTATAGTTTTTGTATTTTTTTTACTAAAAAATGTATTGAAGTTATACTCTCTCTACTCCACTAAAATTGTTTCATCTTTAATTTTTAGCCTATGCATTAAGAATGTCACATATTTGACAAAATTTGTGTGGTTCTAAATCATGCTTATTTTATCACTTCAATATCAACCAAAAACTAAATTGTTTTAATAATTGTACAACTTTATCATAACCTAGCGTTACTGAGATGAGAACACGTTGTATCTCATAAGTAAATAGTGGGAGTAATATTTGGTTGTCTAGGTCCTCAAAATTGCTCTAGACGGCCCTGACCCAACGGCGGGAGACCTTGGGGCACCGAGGTAATGAAGATGATAAATGAAGTAATGAAGACGATGATACATCATAAATGAAGTTATTATTCAATAAATCGTAAATAACATAAAATTGAAAGTAGAAAGGAAACATTTTACTTCTCAATAGCCTCTTTGAGGTCGGAGGTGGCTTCTTTGGCTTCCTGGAGAGTAGGCGCGCCGGAAAAAACGAGCCGTGGAGGCGGCCCCTCCTCTGCGTCTGGAAATTCCCAGTCATCAAACTCCGAACAAGGCATCTGCACGGACGTGCCATCCACTGCCGAAACAGGGAGCATAAGCCCCTTGGCATCGTCTGAAGCAGAAGAGCCGGCGAAAACGGAGACCTGACGAACGGCCATACGCGCAGCGGCACATACGGGATGGTCCGGCGCGAATCCTCGAACGCTGTTAGCGACGCCGATCCCGGCAACCTTCGCCGCCGCCTTCATCGCTCCTCCACCACCCATGCCGATCGCAGTTTTCTATAAATGATTGGAATTCAGATCAGCTTCTCACGGGAGTGGATGATCGCGGAGAGAGATAACTTGTCAGAGTAGATAATACGGAGTCATCGGAGTGACGCAGTAGCGTAGGACGCGTGTGAAACGCGCACTTTGGCGGCTGACTCCCTCCTTCCCAATTTACTTAGACTTTTCAATGTCTAATTTTGACCGATTATATGTTTATATAGAGAAAGTATTGATAATATGAAAATGTTCTTTGTTAAAAACACTATTATAAAAGTATAAAATTATTAAATTTTGCATAAATATATTAGCTTAAATAATTTGTCAAAGTTAGAGGTCGTTGACTTGAAAAGTCAAATTTGGCTAAGTAAATTGGGACGGAGGTAGTATTATCTTTGTACATATTCCCTCGGTCCCACAAAACTTGCCAAAATTAACTTGCACATGAATTAATAAAGTAAAATTGCGTAGTTGAAATTTATGTAGAGAAGAGACAAATAACTTCAAACACATATTCATTACTTTAAATGAAAATTTCAAAGTTTTTTAGGACGACAAAAAAGAAAATTTGACCTAATTTTATAGGAGGGAGGGAGGGTAAGCCAACCTCCCTTACCATAGTCTTTTTTCCATTTACTCCTTAAGTCTTCATTGCGTCTTATACAAAGTACTATCTCAAAGTTGACCGAAACGAAGAATAATAAAATAAAAAACGTGTAATTGAGAATTGTATAGAGGAAAGAGAAATAACAAAAAACACAAAATAATTGATTAAAAGGGAAAGTACAAAGTTTTGTTAGAACCTTCCAAAAATCAAAGTTTGAAGGGAAGAGGGAGTATATCCTACCGTTATCGTAGGCTTTTCCATTTACTCCTTCACTTCTTCTATGCCGCTCATATCTAAAAAAACTAAAAAAAATCTTTGTCTAGCAGCTTATACTTGCAGTTTCTTAGCGACCATGCGAGCATCTCTTCAACCGCAATCAGTTACGAGATGAAGAGTTTGTATATATTCCATCTACGACATGCATCTATTACTCTTTTGCCGTGTTTTCTTACAGATTCGCCAAGGTACTCATTCTACATCTTTGCATCTCTTGATTCATTGGCATGAAATCATATCTGTAATCTACTCCTCCTCATTCTTAATTTCTAAATACTTCAAGACTGCTACTTCAAATGGAGTTGGGAAATAACAAAACTTAACTGCAATAGCCAATTCACAGCATTCCTTTCCTAACACAAAAAAATTCTTAGCAACCATTTAATCTTTGCTCATAACATGTTCTACAAAATGCTTAAACCACTGTTTCAAACGAACAGTGCAGTTGTACATGCAAATCAACTCCACCATGTTTCAAACACACTTACCCATTTGAGGAAGTAATTAATTCACTTGCAATCCCGGCGTGTCTCAACTTTCTTTTACATTTTTATTCATTTAGAGTTGCTAATTCTTTGTACAATTCATTATGTTAAAAGTTTGAGAAGACTCCGTTAAATGTTTGCTCACAGATATAGATTCAGTTGTTTGCTAACTTTCGCAAAGTACTAAAAAATTGCAAAGAAGCGGATTTTTGAAAGCTTTTCTTATCACATATTTTACTTTAGAAATGCAAGTGTGTAACAGTGGTTAGCGTGGACAATAAATTAATACCCCCTCCGTCCCATATTTATCTTCATAGTTACTATTCACATGGTCAACTCAAATTACACTTAATCCTTTACTTTATATATCAAAATTTTATCAAACTTAAATTTTCTTGATCAGACTTTGTAGCGGATTTAATGTAGTTTCTGAATATGTAAATTTAATTTACTAAAAATAATTTGAGTGTGAACAGGGATCAAGTTGCTTTATCGTCAGTCAAGCATCGTAAACCGAACTACGAAGATAAATATGGGACGGAGGGAGTAACATTTTAAAATGGGAAAATCGCACTTTTAATCCCTGAAATAGTCACCATGTTGAAATGTCAGACTCGTATTTTTGAGATTGTAAATGTCACCCCTCAATTTTAAAAATTGATGTAAATATGGTCATTTGAAGGGTGAAATGCACTTCTCGCTCACAATGTACATTTCACCCCTCAAAGGACCAAATTTACAATAATATGGACAATTGAGTGGTGACATTTACAAACTAGGGAACATGGGTTTGACATTTCAATATGGTGACGATTTCAAGGACTAAAAGTGCGATTTTCCTTTTTAAAATATATTGTCTTGAATTGGTATATGTAGTATGTATGTATAATAATATAATGACTCAAGCATTTTGACGAACAAGTTTTCAACACTAATGAAATGTGTTACCATTTAACATTAGAATAGTTATGAATACTTGTTAGTTGTTACACAATATGTGTACACACAAGTGGTATGGGAATCAATATTAGATAAAGTTTTAGTAGATATAAGGAAAACTGGATTGCTGTAACTGAGCAAAAGCCAATGATTTTTACCTTTCAATTACAAAACAGTGCATCTTAATAAACAGAAGTGAAAGTTTTCCTACGTTAACTGTTGCTAGGTGATTTGAATAAGAAATATTGAATTAAAAAGCCTCTGAAAATGTATAACTTATTCCAGACACCTGTTTTAGGTAGGGGGTCGAATGTACGCAGTCTTACTCCTATACTAAAGCACAGAGAGACTGTTTCCGGATGACCCATAGTGAAAATCGCGTCCAAAATTGCATGAACTGACTGTTGTTTCATAACAAAGAAGCACAAATAGTTTAGTGGGTCATTTTGCTTTATTCCATCATAATCTCAAGCCAAAAAAATAATGAATCTTTGGCTCCATTGCAAAGGCTCCATTGCAAATGATGGAAAAATCAAACACGCTACAATGAATAAAATAATTAAATAACAACTTCAATTTTTTTAAATATATGCAGTTATCTGAGTTTTTAAAAAACTCCAAAATTCCCCAATGACAAAAAAAAATTAAGATTTCTATTATTTTTCAAAATCTATAACGGATAACTGTCTTTTGTAATACTATGAAAAAAGGTCATGGATTAAAAGAAAATGGGTAGTTAATTTAGTTAATTAGTTTTACTAATGTTGAGTACTTTTTCAACCAGACTAAATATTCCAGGTTTGAAGACGGTTTGAAGACGTCCGTTTTCACGTTTTAAAAACTAAAGCTATGTTCCAGCCTTAGATTCTCTTAGTCTTAAGCGAAAACTGTTGTTCTAAATTGTCCGCACAATACTATCCTATTTTTTGTAGATATACAACAATTTTTCCTAACATAAATTTACAATGGAGAATACAATCTATAAGGTTTAAACATGTTAGAAATCAAAGGTTCATTGTATATGTACAACAGATTGTAAATTATAAAAATGGCTAAAGCATATTGTCGAACACTTAGAGCCCGTTTGGTAGCACGAAAATCGGCTGATATGGCTGATTCTGCTGAAATTTATGAAGTTCTGACTGAAGTGGCTGTATTGGCTGATTCTGCTGATTTAAGAAAAAATTATTTTTAAAATATACTTCATTAATAAAACAAAGAAAAAATTATATGTAAAAATAGCTAAAATGATCATCTACAGTAACTTCAGCCAATACAGCCGGAAAAGTAACCCCAACCTTACTTTTTCTGCTTATTACACAACTCAGCGCGCGAAAGCAAAAGTTACGTGTTTGGTGAAAAAATTGGCTGATAAGCCTGATAAGCCGAAAAACAGTGTTGCCAAACACCCTCTAATTGACATTCATTAAGTGCTTGTGTTTTGAAAGTAATTGTTTACGAACGTAAAATTGATTCTCAAAAGATGTCTGTCAAGCAACTTAACACCAATCTTGGTTGTGAAAAGATATACTAATAGAGAATCACACATCCTATTAAGTACTCTTTTTGTTCTAAGATACCAAAATAAGCTGAACTATATAAAATTGACAGTAAATCCTTCACTTGATGTTTTTTTGTCAACCCAAATATAGAGATGTAGAACTTTTCCATCTTGAATGTCTATGCTTATTTAACCTACTAAATCAGTAAATGCTTGCACTACCCATAAACTTGTGGGACCTAATTTCTTTATACATTTATATTCCATAGGTCGTTGCAAAAAAAGCCTACGACTCCTATATAAAGGTATGTTTACTCACTGTTCTTAAATAAATCTTACCTTGCTTTACATTTAGTGAATATTATTACACTTGTTTGTGAAGTTGCATGCTAATAAATAAATGGTCGGGGTCCGTGATGCTCTATGCCGGCGTTAGGGTCGGTCCCAGATGTGGACTTGGTATTTTTATGCAATCCGGAATGGGTCTGTGATGCTCTATGCCGGCGATTGTGATACCCCTGGGGTATATGGAAATATACTCCATAAGTCCCCCACTCTCCAAAGCGAAAGTGACACTTAAGGTTCGGGTTGGATTCCGTAGTGGCAGGTACTGATGCTGAACGTAGGTTGGATTGGGGGCGCACTAGAAGTTCAGACGAATAGTTTGGCAGGTGATATTTGCGTTCGACAGTGCAGGCCAGCATCATAGCTGAGTCAAGGTCTAATGGATCCTGGTACTCAACCTCCATTCGGACAACCTCGCGGAGCCCGGCTGTAAATATCTTAACCTGCATACGGGCAGAGATCCCCACCGTGCGAGCTAATATGTGTTGAAAAGTTTCAATATACAACTCAAGGTCGCTCGTCTAGCGTAGTTTGGCAAGTTCTCCTTCGGGATGGGCAATACTAGGCGGGCCAAAACGTTTCGTACATCTGGTGTAGAACTCTGTCCAAGAGACTGGTCATGCGCTCGTATCCAACTGATTAGCCCAAAGTTGCGCTGTGCCGATCATATGGAAAGTCGCCAGGCCAACCCGAGCTTGAGCTGGGGTACGTTGCTGAACAAAGAAGCTTTCACAGCGTTTTAGCCATGACAGAGGGTCACTCTTCCCATCGTACTGCGGAAATTCCATCTTGGAGAATCTGGGAACCAAGGAGTCTTCATGATCACGGCGAAAAGAGTCGGCTTCTCTTCTGCGTGCAAACTGGGGAGAACCAGATGACGGTCCCCCTGTTAACCTCTGCACGGTGGTGGACAAGGCTTCCATGGCCGCCGGAAAAGCGAGCAATTTATTAAAGTTTAGGCAGCTTCTTAATTAGCATTTATCTCCTTCTATAATTAGTCATATCTGCAGCAACAAATGTATCAAAATAAGTAGACAAAGGATGTTGGACAGTAATATTATCAACCAAAGGGGCCTGGCAGTGATCTGTTCCTAGCAAGGAACCGAATACAGTAGCATCGTAAGGGGCCTTAGCAGTAACAGAAATATCCTGCTCCTCTAAAGTTGCCAGAACAGAGGCATGTGGAACATCATTTAACAGGGGCATGAGGAACATCATTAACAGGGGCATGAGGAACATCACTAAAGACAGGAACAACAACATCATTAACAGGGGCAGCAGTTGTTTTAGGAACAATTAAAGCAGTTTCTATAGAACCCAAAGAAGAGGTACCAGGGTCCTTAGTTGCCTTTGAAACTTTAGGCACAATAACATCAATAGCAGGGGTCTTGAGGGAAGAAGTTACAGGGACAATAACGGGTGCCCCAACCTGGTTTTTTGGCACACAATTGGTTGCCAGAGGGCATTCCGTATCGGTATGGCCAAACCGGAAGCATTTTTTACAGAAAAGTGGTATGTTTTCATACCCAATATTCTGAAAAAACCCTGTTGCAGCATCGCCTATCCAAACTTTTGGTGGCAGATCAAGAGAGATATCCATTTCTACACAAATCCTGGTTGTGGATGGTATAGAGAAGTTTGCAGTAGGGGTATCAATTCTTTTCGGGTTCCCCAGAAGCTTACCAATAGACTTGAGGGCTCGTAAATCATGTAGGTGGACTGAAAGTCCATCGAGAGAGATCCAGACAGGGGCCAGTGGTGAGTCCCGTTCAACGGAGAAGCTCAGGGTCCATCGGGTCACGACCATCTGGAACCCAAAGAAATCCCAGGATTCTTGTCCCAAAATTTTTGGAAATCCAGGTCGGACTTGAAATTGATTAGAACAATGTTCGATTGGAGCAAACCAACCGAATAAGGTTGAGCAAACCCTAACATTTCAAAAGCTTTACGAATCGCAGGAATAGGGGGGCGTCCGACGGGGAAAGTACCGACCAGAGCGTATCGGAATGGGAGGGAAAGAACCTGTAAGTCTTCATCAGAGAAGGAAATGGACGGGAAGCCTCTGACGGTTCCGGGCAATCCCAACTCAGCTGCGTCTGAAAGCGAGCAGCCCTGAGAATGCAATCGATGGCCTGGGATAGGATCCCTTACCACCGATGCATAGGAAATCTTCGCCTGCGAGGTCACCTGGACTGGTCCTTCCACCGGCCCCATTACTGCCGCACTGGTTCAGGCTGCCCGAATGGTGTATATTTGTGACACTCATGCTAACTTTATGTGTATACTTATGTATATGATTTTTATACAAGCATATATTCATAACTGATTATGTGAGGGTATATTTGAAATATTTGTTTTTTGAATATTGCATGCCTTTTTAGATCTAAGTTTGCGAAACAATAAGAGAGATTTGCATGTTTTTTGAAGAAGTATGTTTTCATTTTCTAAATGATTTGTCATTTTGAAATTATTATTGCCAAAGAGGGTCAGGTTTGACTATTGTACCCATTTTCAAAATCAAAGTTTGCAAAGAAGTAATGCCAATGTATGATGAGGACAATAACAAAATAAATCTTAGATACAAATGTTTACCATAAGTGTCAATCATGTTTAAAGTTTCGGAAGTACTAAGTATAAGGAATGATTCACTAAGGACTACCCAAATATCTTTTGCAAGTGAATTGTACAAATATTTGCGAAGTATAGTTATTTTTTAAAATTTATATTCTTTTGTCAATTTTTCTTGATAGAGGTCGTACATACAAAGCTTTACTACTTTATTATATTTTTATTCTTTTTTCAATTTTTCATTAATTTTCTCATTTAATAATTGTATAACAATACTATAAATGTTTCGTTACACAATTAAATATTCTACATCCATACTTATGTGTGTATGTGAATATATTAAATTTTATTTGCTAAGAAATTAACTTATTTGTAAGTAGTTTTTATTACTTTTTTATTTCAAAAAAATTGTTTGTAATTGCAAGACTATCACTATCCACAAGATATGACACAAGCATAGAGTTAAACCCTGATGGCCAACATGATGTTGCTATAAAAGAATGGTTTTTGATACTTGATTCACTTTCACTTTATTATCAACACATTTTTAATTACAAAAAACAGTAAACTATTATAGAACTAAAACATATAATGTTTTTTGATTGATTGGAGAGTTGCAAATGCACAAGCAATTCAACAAATCAACAATGAAGAATTGTACATGAACTCACTTGTTCAGTTTGGACAACAGGATTTGCAAAAAAAATCAAATGTTTGTGACATGAAACACTCTCTGGATGAGGTAGTTCATACTCTCGATTAAACAAATGTTGTTGATTCATTTGTTATATTAAAGATGGATGAATTGCTCATTGTTCCCTCACTCATACAGGTTAAAGTATTTTGGATTCAAGGGAACTTGACTTTGTTGGAATATGGATTTATTTCGTTTTACATTGGCTGCAATGGCTGCAATAAAACAATTAAGTCTGTTGAAGGTGTTCAATTTCAGTATCTGCATTGTGGGAACAAAAATGGGGTCACCACAAAGAGGTATGCACTCCAACTTTTTATTCTTTTTCTTAACAAATTGCATGTACATCTAAAAACCAGATATTATATAATAACAGGTTTTGTTTGAGTGTTGAAATTTCTGATACTACCGGGGTGCTAGAAACCACTCAATTCACCAATGAAGTGTATAAGCTGTTGCGAGTGCTTGAAATTTGTGACACTCCAGATTGTGTTGACTACATCCAACTGAATGACAGAGTGAGGACCCTCATTTCACAATTGCACTCAAATTAGGGCGTTCAAATTCACAATCAAAAGGTAGAAAAAATTCCTCTGAGCTTTGTCTTTCTTTGTCCGGTGATATTCCAACAAGCAATGGTTCTCTAAACAATGTTGTTCAAGATAAAGCGCTTACAAGTTCCCCGGAAGCTGAGAGGATGCTCTTTGTGGAGAAAAACAAAGAAACACAGCCCAAGGAAGCACAAGTTCAAGATAATCAAGCAATTCCAGCGACCTCTTCCAAAAAACAAAGGAAAAAAACACCAAAAATGTTAAGTTCGTGTGTTAAGATATGTCTAGTTTAATAATGCATTCTACTGTATTTCATGACTTATAAGTAAGATACATATTAACTATTTAGAATGTCTTACATAAAATAAGATAGGTCATATGTATGACATGTACATGTAAAACTATATAAATACTACAAGTATTGGATATTAATTACTTCCCGCGCGTGTTATCATTTAAGGCTAATGCTTTGGTATAATTTCTTATGAATTAGAGATAAACACAAAGATGGTGTAATTTCCCTATTCTCAATCACTTTCTGTATATGCTCCTTAGTAAATAGATTTGGTAATAATCACAAGTTTTCTAATATTCTATTACGAAGACTACCTTTCCTAAATTCTAAACTTTCCTATTTATTGGAGATGAAGCCACAACTAAACAGTTTCAAGCACAAATTGATTACTATGTAATTGACTTCTTTCAGCCTTTTGTTCATTAATAAAGAATAAAAATTATGATGAAATTTGTAACATCATCCAAGTATGTACAGATTGAGATCATAGAAACATAAGCTTGTGATATAGCTAATTGATCAAGGTGTATTCACTTATTAATTGTTTGGTGTGTTGGTGTTCTTCAGGTCTTGCACAAAAAGGCTAAAAATTTATTTTATCTCCAATTCTTCATAGTGCAAACAAAGGGTCCTAACTCCTCCTCTCTATTCTAGAACGCCTTCATAAAGTTTGTAGATATACATCATGATTTCTGTTGTGTTCAGCCTAACCTAATCAACTATACTTTATTTCCTTCAAATAATACAACCTTGTATCACAAATCATAAAGGAAATAAAAGAATTAAAAGAGTACAAATAAAAAAAGTTACTACGGAATATATATTGAAAAGCTTTACTATCAAAGAAATTAAAAACCTAACTACTCTACATGCAAATACATAACTAAATTCAAAAAATATTTGATGTGACTAACTTACTACGTAGTATATTGATGGATAGTGTACCCGGGGGGTAGCTTATCTGAGGGGTTCTTACGGGGAGTAATTTAGAGAGAAGTCAGAGCATAAGTAAGTAAGAGAGAGAGTGTATTCAGTATGAATGTCGTGGTTTACAACGGGGAAAAGGGGGTGCTATTTATAGTAGCAATAAATGCTGGACAGGGACACGTGTCAAGTATCCATTGGCCGAGAGGTCACCTCATCCGGTTGGCGCTGGCAACCGCATGTGGCCGCATTTAATGCGGCTGTTGGATGGGACGTTGTACAGGGTACAGTGATCTGTACGCGCGTGAAGAGGAGATCTTGTCGAGTGAGGTGCCTTCGGCTATAGAGCAGTAGCCGAGGGCTCCTCAAACCGAGGGCACCCTGGTGCCGAGGGCTCCTGGTGCCGAGGGCTACTGTTCTCGCCGTTTTCTCCCAGTTTCTTAGTTTGCTTGAGAAACCCGTTCTGTGAGATTTTAGAGCCTTCGGTCAGGGGGTCGAAGGCACCCCTGGTGCGCTGTGGGCTGCTTGGTACTCCGGGCGCCATGATTTGGGCCTGCTGCGCCTTCTGGGCCTGTTGGGCCTTTACTGGAGTGGTAGGAGTCTGTGGGCCGGGGGTTCCCGGGCCATATACTCCATCAGGAGTCCCTCACTCCTTTTGCCGAAAGGTACTTGAGGGAAAAGGAGTAATTTGTGCTTGCCCTTTGATGTTGTCCTGTCGTAATCTCTGAAGTTGGTGAGGAGTTGTTGCTTTCATGTCCCTGCCGAAGGCAGTCCCTCAGTTACCCACATGTCGGGACTTGAGGGATTGTTTTGCCGTTTGTTGGATTTTTTGACATTTTTGTTTGACATTTTTGTAATTTTGTGATTTCCCGAAGGGGTTCCCCAGTCCCCCACTCCTTGAGGCATTTGTAACGTGGTGAAAAGGAGTAGAGTAGTTGCGTTGCTGTTGTGGGCCGAAGGCTGACGCTTTTCGTTTCATTTTGGGGGGGATGCCTCGTTAAAAACCTCATTAGGAAAAACCCTGGGGGAAAAAATCCTAATGAGGGAAAAAGAGTGCACCGAATTCCCCCAACGATGAATCGAAAATGTGAAACCTTGGTCAAAAATGGAGAATAACGGTAATGCTGAAGGCTCTCCTTGTTCTGAGGGCTCATGTGTTGATTAGCCGAAGGCTTGCTATTGATGTTCTGGGGTGCCGAAGGGGAGCCCCTCAATCTGGGGATCGAGGGCGTGAAGGGTGGGGGCAGTATTTGAATTGTCACCGGGGGGTCCCCTGCTTGTTGATTAGTTGGTGATGGGGATATCTGAGGGCTCCCATTACCTGTGCGCCGTAGGCTATCCGTCAGTGAGGCATACCCCCCGGGGGCTACCCGGTCCTCACAGTGCTGAGGGGGAATCCTCGAGGGGAGGCCTGTCATGAAGTCTTGGGCTTCTGAAGGAGTGATCCCGAAGGCGTCTGTTATGTGCTGTGTGGGGCACAACCCGGGGGCGTCTCTGGGTAAGTGTACTCGGAGGCTCTCCTTGATGAAGTGGAGTGAAGTAGAAAACCCGGGGGCTTCCAGAATATAGCCGTTTGAAATATAGCCGTTGGAATATGTATCGGCGGGATATAGCCGTTGGGGGAGGAGGACACGTGGCGCGTGACGGTTGGCTGCCCGTGGGCGGCGTCACCGGTTGGGTGAAAACACGGCGCGTAATGATGACGGTCCGTCCGGAGGCCCGGTTTCTGGGCCCAAGCCCGGATTCCAGCGCCTATAAATACCCTAGAGCCAGAGTCATTTCTTCTTGCGCGATCACCTGTCTTAGCGAAGCTTTGTCGGAATTTTTCTAGAGAGAGAAAATCACCCTCGATCACAGCAACTTTCAGAGGTCAGTTCTTCCTTCGTTCCTCACCGTTTTTCGTAAGCTTTTGCTCCCTGGCCTTAGGTTAGGTGTTAGAGCTTTGTAGAGAACCCTCGGTTTAGGAGTCTTAGCTTAAGTACACCAAGGATGTCGTCCCAAAGCGACTCGCAGAATATCTCGAGGGAGCCCTCGGTTGAGGACGAGGTTGCTTCCGATGTTGAGTCAACTAGCAGTGCGCCCTCGGTTGCCGATGACGAAGCTGTAGCCTTGGAGTTGCATAAGGCCCTTGCTGCTGAAGTGGAAGCCGAGGGCTTCGAACAGGAGTGCGAAGATGAAGAATTAGCCTTCGCGTACCAGGTGGCGGAGGATGAAGCGCAAAATGAGAGCACGAAGGTTACAGTTGCTGTTCTCCCCCCCCCCCCCCCCCCCCCCGGGGGGGGGGGGGTTCTGGGGAAGCAAGTAGCTCGAGGCCGCTAGATCCGACACCTCTGAGGGCGGTCTCCGGGTTGAAGAAGAAGAAGGTGAAGGCTGCTACCAAAAAGAAGGAGAGGGCTGTTGATCAAGGAAAGCCAGTGGACATGCCCGAGGGGTACAGTTGGTTGAACACTGAGGCCCTCGAGATTAAGTCGAAAGCCGATAGGGCAGATCTGTACGTTACTCAGCTGCACGTGGGGCCCTCGGCCGAAGTGGTGGAGCCGGGTCCTGACGACGTGTTGTCCAGGGCGCCCGAGGGGTGTATCGCCATTCACGTCCTCTCGGTTTCTATGGGACTTAGGTTCCCTCTGCACCCGTTCCTTCGGGAGTACCTGAGGTTTGTTGGTTTGGTCCCCTGCCAGCTTACGCCCAACAGCCACTCCTACATTGCGGGGTTCCTCCAGCTCTGCAAGTCCCGAGGGGTGAAGCCCAGCCTGGATCTATTCTTCCAGAGCTTTAATCTGTTCCGAGGGGGGCATGAAAACGGCGAGGGATACGCGAATCTGCAGCAGATCGCCCGTTTCAAACTATTCTCCGATGCCCCTTCTTCAAACAAAGGGTGGAGGGAACGTTGGTGCTATGTGAAGTTGGGCGAGAACCCATTCCCGAGGGAACTGCGCGATCGATTCCGAAGGCACGAAAAGATCAGGAGTGCTGCCCTCGAGAAAGACGGCCTAAAGCTCGCCAAGTTCCCGGAAGGGAAGAATAAGAATGTGGCGATCAAAGATTGCACCCTTGAGGAAGACTTATACACCCTCGGGTTCCGAAGGTACCGCTTCATAGGGGAGACCGACGAGAAGTATGCTCTCTTCAACAAGGCCTTCGGAGGAGCCGGAGGTAGGAGCTGAGGGCTTTAGATTTTTGTACTTAGTTTTTTTTTTTATTTTGCTTGGATGTCATTGTCCCTTCGTTGTAGACCCGTCGGCCTAATCCTCTGTCGTATTTTTGCAGGTATCCCCGTGTCCATGGTGAACGTGAAGGGCCTTGCGCGTCTGAAGAAACAGGACCCGAAGGGGTCGGGACAGGGCAACCAGAAGCCTGCCACTGCCCTCTTCAAGAAATCCGAGGGCGATGCCGCTGCCAGCAAGAGGAAGGCGGCGGTCAAGGGGTCCCCCCCAGCTACCAAAAAGCCGAAGAAGGGGGATATCACCGATAAGGAGCCCCCGGTCGTGATTGTTGATGAGCACCCCGCCTCCGGGGTGCATGTGGAGAAGCCGTCGGGTGGAACACCGGCGGGGGCAGAGGAGTCGCTGCCTGAGGTCCTCCATGTTTCTCTTCCGAGGGGTACATCTCTGGCCAGCGGCGCTGTTGACCCGGGGGCCATCTTGAGGGGCATAACCCCTGAGACGGATAGGGCTGCCCTCGGGGCTTATAATGATGCGGCCCTCGAGGACCACATTCTCCGCTCCTCCCTCTCTGTAAGTGTTCACTCGGCTTTCTTCCTTTTTTCCTTTGGTCATTTTGTGTGATTGCCTTTAACCGTTTTTGTTGTTGATCTGCAGGTTTGTCTAGCCCTCGGCGAACAGGCCCGGAGGCTTCAAGAATGGCGCCTCCATAAAGCGGAGCAGGACGCCAAAATGAAGGAGTGTATCCTCAAAAACGAAGAGGCGGTGAAGCTGGGGGCCAGGCTAGAAGAGGAGCTTCGGCAAATGGAGCTAAACCTGGAGGATGCATAAAAGAGCAAGGCTGATGCTGAGGCCGCTGCTGAGGAGGCCAGGAGAGCTGCCAAAGAGGCCGAGAATTCCAAGGCGCTAGCCGTCGCCAAGGCTCAGGAGGAGGCCGTTGATGCCTTCGTCGCTGAGGGTTGGAGAGCCGTGGGACGCAAGGTGTGGGTGTCCTCGGTTGTGGAGGCATGCGTTGATGAATGGGCCGAGGGCCCTGTGTGGGAATGGATGGCCCGGAAGGGCAGAGAATATTATGAGGCCGGCGAATTCTTCACCCAGGCCCTCATCTATCGGAGGATGGC